CACACACACACACACACACACACACACACACACACACACTCATAATCACAATAATGCATGTGCGTGTGTGTGTGTGTGTGTATACAGTACAGAGAGATTGAGCCAAACAGAAATGCAAGGGGGTAAAACATTTTTTTTTTCCAAACACTGAGTTTTGATTTCTAAGTGAAGAAATGGTGTGTAAGTGTTTTCACTCATGATCCCTGGCTGTAGATCATCAGTAAATGTGGCCTGTAAATGACAGTGTTTCCCAAATGAAACACAAGAGTTGTTCATTTCTGATGTGTGTAATGTAGAGAACTGTGTTTATGGTTTTGCGAAAAGTTTGTTTTACAATAGCAAACTGAGTTTAAAGCATGTAATGTGCATGTAAGTGTTGCAGACTTGGTCTAAAGATTAGGTGTATGAGTGAATGGTTTCACTGAGTGCGCCTCAAGCACCACTTTTAGTGCCTAAGCAATTAAAAAACTGTAAAATCATTATAAACTTAATATGAAAAGGGCCTTTTTTTCCCAGAGTCACCAAAAACCTACTTTGTGGAAATGTGTGGATGAATTCCTTTTCACAAACCACAGCGATGACAAAAGGAGCAACTAGGCATAAATAATTGGACTGTGCACGCAGCAAGCGAGCCGGGAGAGTCCGCGCATGCGCACTGCGCTCTCACTGCGGAGAGGGGGGTCAGTGACAGACGCATCGCTGCTGAGCGACTGAAGCAACATGAGCTCCGCCGAATCTCGTCTGCTTGCGCGCACAGAATGACGCTCTCCGCCTGAATCCCGTCAGCGCCCAGATGGACGACGAGCGCAAGCAGCACAAGATCACCTCGTTCCTGTTCTACCAGGCGGTGCGGGACCTGAAGCCCGTGTGGATGCTCGAGGACATGCGCACCATGGAGACGTTTTACTGGGAGGAGGACGCCAAGCAGAGGACGTACAGCCCGTCCGAGGCGCTGCTCTACGCGATCGTACACGACCACCGGGCGTACGCGCAGTTCCTGCTCAGCCAGTATGCGCACGAGGCGCTGGCCATGCCCGGAGAGCGCTTCTGCTGCTGCCCGTCCTCCGCGCCGCACCTAGCCATGGCCGTGCGCTACGACAGGCGGGACATACTGGGCCACATTCTGCAGGTGGCGCATCGGCAGCCGGGCCTGCGCTCCTACATGAACCGCGGCGGCTGCTTCCACCTGGAGGACGGCAAGACCCCGCTGCACTTGGCCTGCGAGCTGCTGCGCGCGGACGCCGTCATGCTGCTGCTAGGCAACGGCGCGTCCCCGCAGGCCGTGGACCACAACGACATGACGCCGCTCGACGTCATTCTGCAGCAGCTGTGGGACTCCAAGGTGAATGTAGGGGCCAAGAAGTCCTGCTTGGACAACCTGCTGATGTTCATGCCGGAGATGCGTTTCAAAATGAAGAGCTCCCTGCGGAAAGAGCCCGAACGCTGGGCCAAGGTGCTCGGGGAGGACAAGCTCGGCTACCTCATCGGACGGGACCCGGCGCCGCTCTTCCTCATCGCTATGCAGAGGATCCTGGCGCAGCTGCCGCCCGAGCAGTTCCCCAAGAGCCTGGACAAGCTCCCCATCCCGGCCTCCCTCAAACCCCTGCCCAAACCCCCCAAGCAGCGCAGCCATCTCAAAGTGGCCTAGACCGGTTCCGCTAGTGTTTGTCTCGGCATTAATTCCGTGCGTGCGTGCAAGTGTGTGTGAGTGTGCGTGCGTGCGTGCGTGCGTGCGAGCGTGTGTGTGTGTGTGTGAGTGAGTGAGTGAGTGTGCGTGCGTGCGTGCGTGCGTGCGTGCGTGCGAGCGTGTGTGTGTGTGTGTGAGTGAGTGAGTGTGCGTGCGTGCGAGCGTGTGTGTGTGTGTGTGTGAGAGTGAGTGTGTGTGAGTGTGTGCGAGTGTGTGTGTGTGTGTGTGTGTGTGTGTGCGAGTGTGTGTGTGTGTGTGTGAGTGTGTGTGTGTGTGTGTGTGTGTGTGTGCGAGTGTGTGTGTGTGTGTGTGAGTGTGTGTGTGTGTGTGTGTGTGTGTGTGCGAGTGTGTGTGTGTGTGTGTGAGTGTGTGTGTGTGTGTGTGTGTGTGTGTGCGAGTGTGTGTGTGTGTGTGTGAGTGTGTGTGTGTGTGTGTGTGTGTGTGTGAGAGAGAGAGTGTGAGTGTGTGTGAGTGAGTGTGAGTGAGTGTGAGTGTGTGTGTGTGTGTGTGTGCGTGCGAATGAGTGAGTGTGTGTGTGTCTGTGTGTGGCATGAATTCTGGTATATATGGTTTATTAGGTTTATACTTCCTGTGTCCTTGTAAACCAAATGACTTAATGACTTTACACAATGTTAATGTACATATTTTTTTTTAATCTAAAAATGCCTGTAGTTCTCTGTAAGGAGTAGGTGGGGTAGGGTTAGTGAAAGGGGATAGAAAAAAAAAATTAGGCCTATGGAGAAGCCCCGTAAACTTAGTTTACTAAACTAAAGTTACTGGTTAGGGTAACTTTAAACCCTAACCAGTAACCAGCTAAACTTAGTTACTGGTTTGGGTGGTTTATGAGGACACATTTGTATAATGACATGGGTATGACACAGGTATTACAGTACGAATGTGGTTTATGAGGACACTACCTGTGTCCCTGTAAATCAAAAGGCTTAAAAAACAATAATTTTTTTTGAAAATATAAAAATGCAGAAAGTCTCCTGTAAGGGGTAGGTTTAGGTGCGGGGTTGGTGTAGGGCAATAGAAAATACAGTCTGTACAGTATAACAACCATTATGGAGAGTCCCTGTAAACCACCAATACCAACATGTGTGTGTGTGTGTGTGTGTGTGAGAGAGAGAG